AAACATTTTTGTTGCTTTGCATTGGACTCTTTCCAAACTGTTCACCTCCTTGAAATGTTGTGCCCAGAACTGGACACAGTACTGCAGGTCAGCCCTTGCCAGTACTGAATAGAGGAGAAGAATCCTTTTCCTTGATTTGAATCCCTTTCCTTTGACATGCCTGTTAATACAACCCAGTATGCTGTTGGCCTTCTTTTGTAACAAGAGCACACAGTTAGCTAATAGTCATTTTACAGCATTCTGTAATCTCCAGGTCCCTTCCTGCAGTACTGCAGCCTTTCCAGTCATTCCCCAGTCTGTATTTGGGCATGCAGTTAATTCCTTTCAGGTAAGGTGCTTTGTACTTGTCCTTGATGAATCTTATCTCATTGACTGCAGACCATTTATGCAGTCTATCCAGGTCATTCTGGATCCTAGCCCTACTCTCCAGAGTATCCATAATTCTACCCAGCTTGGTGTCATCCACAAATTTACTAAGTGTGCCCTTAATCTCATCATCCAGATCATTAACAAAGGTATTAATACTGGACAGAGTCCTGGAGAACTCCATTTGATATCTCCTCCCAAGTAGACATTGAGCCATTGATGACTGCTCACTGAGTATGATGATCCAACCAGTCATGTATCCACCTTACAGATTAGACAAAAGTATGGTATTTCCCCAGTTTGTTAATGAGAATGTTTGTTAATGAGAGAGTATCAAAACCTTGCCAAAGTCAAAGTATATCACATCCACTGCTCTCCCCCCATCCAGAGCCTGTCACCTTATCATAGAAGAAAATGAGGTTGGGTAGGTATGACTTGCTTTTGGCTGTTCCTGATTACCTTGTTCTCCTCTAGGTGCTTCACAATGGATTCCTTGAGGACCCGCTCCATGATCTTTCCAGGTATTGAGGTCAAGCTGACTGTACTTCCCTAGATTCTCCTTCTTCTCTTTCTTAAAGATGGGTACTGTGTTTACCCTTTTCCAGTCATCCTGGACCTCAGCTGATCTCCCTGAGTTCTCATAGAGGATAGCCAATGGCTTCACAGTTAACCAATTCCTTCAGTACCCTAGGGTCCATCTCCTCTGGCCCTGCCACCCAAAAGCTCCTCTCAACAGCTGCCCACATACCCCTACCAGCATATGTTTTATATTTTAACCCCTTACATGGTAATTATTATTATAATGAAAATTAAATTCACCACTACACAATTTCTCCTGCATACCCCACAAAGATGTCTTGCATACCCCCAAGGATATATGTGCCACAGTTTGGAAACCCCTGCTCTAGGCTGTTTGTTTCCCTATTTTTGCTACCACCTGTGCTCATCATCTGGTAGTTGCACATATTTGTGAAGAATGAAGTAAAAAGGTATGAAATACTTAGGTCTTCTCCAAATCATCTGTAACTAGATTACCTTCTGCATTCTGTAAAGGACCTTTTGTTTCTCTGATCCTAAAGAAACTCTTACTTTTGACATGCTTATAGGATATCTTTTTATTGCCTTTTATGTCCCTTGGAAACTGCATCTCAAATTGTGCGTTGGCCTTCCTAATTTTATCCCTGTATGCCTATGCAATATTCTTATACTCTTCTGTAGTTATATGACCAAGTTACCACTTTTTGTAGGATTCCTTTTTGAGTTTCAGTTCCTTGAAGACATCACTGTCTAGTCAAGCTGCTCTCTTGATGCACTTCCCATTCTTTTCTTGCATCAGGACAGCTTGCTCCTTCACCCTTAAGAGAGCCTCCTTAAAGGACACCCTGTTCTCTCGGACTCCTTCTCCCCCCAGACTTGCCTTACAGGAGATTCTGCCCACCAGGTCCCTGAATGGGTTAGTATGCTTTTTTGAAGTTCAATATCCTTTTCCTGCTGCTCTACTTCCTTCCTTGCCTTCTGATTTTGAACTCTTATCATTTCATGGTCACTGGGTACATCTATGAATGCACTGTAGTTACTACACATTTAAGTTTAGTACCTGTAATAACAGATACTAACTCAATGAGCAGGAACTGTGCATCAGCGCAGTATGAGCACCAAGGACTAACTAGGTATAGGTTTTGTGGCTCTGGTCTGGAAAGTTAGCTTGTCACATGGTATTAACACCTCCGTTTTTCTCACCTGCTAAACTACATTAAAAGACAGATCAATACTTTTCCATTTTTACCCCCCCATGTAAAAATCTTCCTGCAGTTGCCACAGGGAAGTTACGCAATTAGGAACAAGCAAGGCATTGGACAGGTGGCCTTAACACAAATGTCTCCTACCTTTGGAGTATTTCACATCACAGCCTGGCTTCTTTTAACTCATATTTTGCTTTTGTTTTGGCAGTGCCATCAAGCATTTGTAGAGGGAGTTTTGAGAGCAATCTAGATCTTTCTTTTAGCTGTCCCTCTACTGTCTCTAACTACTCACGTACACCCTGTTGAGATTCCAGCTGTTCTCACCTCCTCTCCTTTATTCCCATTTAAACAAAATGTTTTTATAGTTTTAAAGTTATAGGAGCTGGGAGGGATGGAAGTGCTGCCCTTAACTTAAGACAGTAGTAAAAAAACCCAACAAGCCGCTGCATGGAACTAGGTAACTAAACTACCATTTACAAGAAAAGCCCAGGGCAAGCTGAACCACAGTTGGTCTAAGATCCTCTCTAGGGATTGATAACAGCAAGTGTACAGACCCTGGCATTGATTGGATTGGAACTGTGTGTGCTGCTTGCTGACTTCCCTGTTCAGGAAAACAGGGCTTTGTGCACGTTCTTTGTAGCAAAATAGGACTGCATCAAAGATGCCTGACTTAGCATCAATTTCTCCTCTCAATACATGCAATCCCTCTTCCCCCCCACCCCTTTGACTAAGTGCTTAGACCAAAATGAGGTAATAAATTAAGTAATAAGACTATATTATGGTAAAGCCTAAAGGCCCCCAACCCAAAGCAGAGCCCCATAAGTCTTTGATATTCTAAATACACATGCAAAATGTTTACAAGTCTACATGTGGGTACTTTATTATTTTTGGGTCCTAATTAGGGAGGATTTTACATATAGCTGCACATTTGTGAGGCATTAAGCCTTATGGTCAAAAACTAGGTATGAAACACTTTCCTAGGCTTATGTCAGCTTCTTAAGGCATCTGGAGTTAGTTACCATTGTAATCTCATTGCCAAAAATGAGACTGCATAGCCTGCAGCTCCTTACAGTGTAACATTCTTAGAAAGAAACACTGTCATATTTACAGAGATTTGAATCTATTTGGGGAGAAAAAGGAGGGGAGGAGGAAAGGGTCAAATCCTCATTCAAGTTGATGGAAATTACACTTACTGAAAACAAGCAACTTTGGAACCCAGCCACTTATTCTACTATTTGATTCAGTTCTTCACCATCTTTTTCTTTTCTTGCCACCTTGTTTCATGGATAGCACCACCCTACAGTCCCTGGAAATCATTTCATTTCTTTGGTTCACAACAATAAGAAGGCAGACCCAAGTTCTGCCATATGTGCTGGCAGACTTTTCTGAGCCTTTGAGGTTAAGTACAGACAGTCAAAAAGCATGAGGCTTAATCAATATAATCTTTGCAGGCTAGTCTAAGCTGTGTAGATTGAACCGATATACAAGTAAACAGACATTCACTTTTGATTCTGGAGATGCAGTCACATGCCTGCAGTGGCCCAGGCCAGAAGCCAGGCAAGTGCTACAACATGCCTCCCTGCTCATCTAGAGCAGACAGCTTGGGCCAAGGGTAGCCTTCACACCCTGCCAGGGAGGCTTATAGGGGAGGTTCAAAGCATCCTGGGATGCCGGGGATCTGTGTTAATTTGAATCTGGAAGGGATCAGGGACAGAAGTTCAATAAACCGATTTCACCTAAATTAGTTAAGTCTGATACTACATCCATCCAGGTTTATCTTAAATCAGTTTTGGCGATTTTGAAAGCGGTTTATGTGCACTGAACTTCTGTTCTGTTACAGATTTGAACTGGTTTCTAATCACTTATACAGGTTTATGTGTGTGTGACAGGGTGCTATCTTCGGCTGCATTTTTTTTTTGTAGGCTGGTTAATGGGCACCGGTCAAGTCTTGCTGTATTTTCTTCCCTTGGGAATCCGCTCCCCCCCACCTTTACTCACCTGCCATGACTTGATGTTACTTGGTTCTTAAAAAGAGGGTGGCTGACCCAAAGGTTACCACACAGGCTCTAGGCCGGGGTGGGCAAAATGTGGCCTGGGGGCCAGATGTAGCCTGCCAGGCCATTCTATCCAGCCCGCAGGGCCCCTAAAAAATGTAGAAAATTAATATTCATCTGCCCCTGGCTGCCTGTCATGTAGCCCTTGATGGCTTGCCAAAACTCAGTAAGTGGCCTTCTGCCCAAAATAATTGCCTGCCCCTGCTCTAGGCTCACCACCTGTAGGATAATGAGCTGTTGTCTTAAGGGCAAAATGCATGCTCCTACCTTCCCTTGGCGTGCCCCATGCCTTATAGATGTTTTATGATTTTCTCTTTATGTTGGGGTTTCAGTTGCTGTAGGCTTATCCCTCCCCCCCTCCCCCCATTCTAGCTAGGCCTGTCAGTCAAAACCCACTAAGCAGGGCTTGACTCTGAGGCTCCAGCTCTCTAACGTGCTCGGGGTTACGGCCCTCCGTTCCATACTCTCCATGACACCAGGCCTACTGGCCCTTCTACACTGTGTCCCTGTGGTGCCAGGCTGTTGGGTCCTCAGCCCGCTCTGGCTTTGCCCCTCTTTCTGTAGTTAGGGCCATTCGCCTAAGTCCACCCACTAGGAACCAGCTTCAAGGCTCCTATGTCCCCTTCAAGCGACTCTGGGCTCTTGGCCCTCGTGCTGCACCCCTAGTGAAGCAGGATTTCTTGAGCCCTCTATCACAGCATCCCTTGGAGCTAATGAGGGCTCCTCCTCCCCTGCAGCTTCAGCCACAAACCACCAGCCTTAACATTAAACATAAGCCATAGGCCCCTGTGGCTATATACCAAAAATAAAAAATAGGAGAGGCAAACTGCCCGCTTACGTGTGATCGCGCTTCTGTCTCACAGCGTGGCGTATCCCTCTGAAGGAGGCTGCCGCAGCTGCTCTGCAGTCATTGGGAGTCTCCCTCTCTGCTGCCCTCCTCGCCTTCTCCACTTGAGGTTTGCATGGTTCTGGCCTTCCCCTTCCTGTCACCTGACCAGCTGGCAGGGCATGTTCCTTAACCCCTGCTCGACTGGACCGCTGTGCCTGGAAGGTTCTGGATTTAAAGGGGCCGCTCTGCTTCCTGGTAACAGGGCTAGGGCTCCCTGTTACAACGTACAATTTCTGCCCCTAGCTCTACGTTCTCCATCTAATGTAGAGTTAATATGAAGATAATGAAAGATTTGTTGCTTGAAATTCTAAGTACAAATAGTGCTGTATCCTGTACCCGTTAGAAAAAAAAAAAAGAAATGAGCAGCGTTCACTGAAAACATGCATATTCTGCTACCCTGACCATGTTAAAGGAATTTATTTTTACCTCAGGAGCAGGGGGATCAGTGTAAAATACTGATATGGTCCTGCTGCTTAAATTGTGCACAGATTAACCTGGCAGCCCTGAGAATATGCTAAGCTGGGGTGTCCAACTGAAAGCCTGACAATGTGGCCCACAAAGGGTTAATGTGCAGTTCAGCTGGCCCTCCCCTTCCCCCCCCAATTCCTCTTGGTGCTGCAGCAGGGGGTCTTTAGGGTAGGGCAGCACAGTGGGATGGGGCCTGATGAACTCCCTGCCAACACAGCCCAGGTTCTGGGGAGCCCACACAGTGTGTGGCCCCCCACAGCATGCAGTACATAAGGTGTGTGGCCTAGGGCCCAGGACTGGTTTGGTGTGCAACCCATTTGGACAGTCCTGCTCTAAGCAAAGGAGCTTTTTTTTCTGTTTGAGAAATAACAGAAATACAGAGTCCTTGAGCCTCTTGCTCTGGAAACAAAGATGATTCAGAATAACATTTTAACATTCAGAGACTCCAACTCTGAATGTTCACCTGAAAAAAACCCAGAGGAAACAGCCACTTTGCTGAAAGACCAGTCTGTTTCCATGGAAAAAGGGGAATTTGAGGGCATTTGACTGTTCAGCTTGGGGAACAGGTCAGTGTTCTTCTGTTAAGAAGCTGAAAGTTGTTTGAGGTGATGTGAATTGTTTTCACAGAGCAGCCTCGAGTTCAGTTCTCAGACTTGGCCTCTTGCTCTCCGCCTTCGTGGAACTAGAGCTGAATTGGAAACCTCCCAGTGAAACATTTTTCATCAGAAAAATATTAAATTGTCATGGGACTGCATGTGCCAGTATTGACAAGGGTGGATTTCTGGTGTAAACCTGAAATCCCATCACCCACAGCAACAACAGCCAATAACCCAATGCTTAGGGCCATCATCTGAAATGGATGAAACCAAGGTTCAAGACCCTTCTCTGCCTGTGTCAGAGCAGGCAACCTTGATGTCCCACCTCCCAGATGAGTCTGCTATCCATTGTGCTGTAGTGTCGAGTTCATGCTTTCTCTGGCTCAGTGCGTATGCAATTTATCCAAAGGGGAACAGCTTCAACAAAACAGACAGATCCCCTGCACTTCCAAAATCCAGAATAGGTTGGTGGCTAGGGGCCTAAAGTTCAAATGCTTGGACTCTAGCAGAAACATGATTTGAACCTTGGGCTTGCACACCCTCAGTGTGGACCCTAAGTACCAGCTGTTTCCTGGGGCATGAGGATTATATCTCTGTCTCTTAGTGTTGTGTTTTGTTTTGCTTTTTTTTTTATTTAAGAAGTCCTTGGCGTCTTCCTGTAGCAGTGCAGGAAAATTTTTGCAGAATGGGAAAACTTCTGCCTAACTTAGAGGTGGGTTGTAAAATGGACCTCAGGAAGAAAAGAAAAATAATGTTGCTCTACAGGAAATCCTATTGTGACCGCTGCCCTTTCAACCAGAATGGAAGGGAGTTGTGTAGGCTGTGACTACACTTCTCCTCTCCAATATCACCAGCTAAGCTCTAGTGCATTGCTAGTGTAGTGCACAGCATAACTGATCACATGTCTGCTCCAGATGCTTGGGTAATTTATAGCTGTGTCTAAAATTATTATTTATTACATCAGAGTTAATGCTACTGGTGTCCAGGCCCAAGGGTGTGCAATAATAATAGATTTGTTGAATTAAAAAAAAATGTACCGGGAGAAAAATGAAGCGAGTTAAATGCTGCCCACATCTCCAAGGGGTAGGCCCCAGAACTTTAGGAGAGTTCATAGTAAAAGTGGGACCATCACTTGTACCTCCTTCACAGGGCCTGGTTTCAGGGTTTTACCACTGATTCTATTCACTTCGAGTCAGGCACTAAATGTTATCTACAAACATGTAGGAGGATTCTTACTCCAAGTTCATCGTCACCTCCTCCCTGAAAACATGCTCAGGCTTAACTTTATTCATATGAGCAGACCCACTGCAGTCAAATGGTATAACCAGAGGGCCAGATCTGAAAGGTGTTTTTAGGCATTTAAATTCCTAACAAAATCAGTGAAATTTCAATGGAAGTTTAGGCACCTAAATAGGAGTCTGGGCCCTAAATAGGAGTTTGGATCTGGCCCTAGCCTAGTGTAAGGAGTAGCATTATTGGGGCCTTGAAGGTTACAGAAGATAAATTTTAAAAAATCTCAAGGCAAGTAGTAATTCAGAAATGCCAGGTTTTCTTATTATGAATAAAGGGATAAGTTAACATCAGAACTAGATGTTCCCCTCCTCACCACAGTGCATAAGGGGTTACATGAACTGCTTGCATGGCAGTGTAGTTAGATGTTTCTTAACTTTATTTTTGCTTGCTGTTTGGAAAACATGTTCCATATTATGTTCTTTTCTTGTTTGTACCCCCCCCACTTATTGACTTTTCAGGAATTTCTCCACCCCATGTCCAGTTAGGCATTCCAGTTTAGGCATTATCCCTCTTCAGGTTAAAATGTTAATCTGTTAGGTTTCTGTTCATCCACTTAATCTAGCTCACAGTAGTTTTGTGCATTGTGGAAACAGAGGTCAGAAGCATAGGGACAGAAGTTATACGTAAACTGGTTTAAGTGATCAGAAATTGGTTCAAACCTGTAACAGAATAGAAGTCCAGTGCACATAAACCAGTGCACATAAACCTGCTTGAATGTAGTATCAGACTTAACTGATTTGGGCCAGACTTCTCTCCCAGACCCTTTCCTGGTTTAAATTAAACCAGAGTCCTCCAGCATCCCAGCATGCTCTTCAGCCCTGGGCTGGGCTGTGCTGTCTGCTCCAGAGAGCAGGGCTGGACCCGCCCCTCTGCTCTCTAGCCCAAGCAGGAGTGGGGGCGTGGCCAGACACGTCCCAGCATGGACCCGTTAAGGCAAAGTGAACAGGGAAGGAGTTAATTCTTCCCTTCTTCCCCTCCCCATCCCACCATAGCCAGGATCTGCCTGTCTGCAGTTGGCAGAAGGAATGGAGAGAGGAATTAACCTCCTCCCTGCCCCCTTTGTCTTAATGGGGCCATGCCAAGATGGTGTCTGGCCATGCCTCCACCACTGGAGCAGTGAAGGGAGGGGAGGACGGGTTTATTCCCCCCCTCCCTTTCCTCTCCCATTGACAGGGACCACAGCTGTCCTGGCATGGTCCCGTTAAGGCTAAGGGGGCAGGGAGGCAGTTAGTTAACCCCCTCCTAGTGGGGGACTGTAGCTGGGCTGCATCAGCCTCTCTCCCCCACCCCTGCTGCCACTGTGTGAGGAGGGGGCTCTGTGCTGTGCTGCCTGGCCCCAGAGGGAGACTCTTACCCCTCCTCCACATCATGGGGCGGTGAGGGGGGCTCTGTGAAGTGCTGCTTAGTCTGGCCCAGCTTGGGCACGGAGAGCAGCTGTCACTGAGCTGCAGCCACTGGGGGGGATTGCAGAATGCGCAACCCAGCCCAGCCCCACTCAGCCTCGGCAAAGGCAGCTGCATGGTGGAGCCAGGCCAGGCTTCAGGGGTGGGGCCCTCCCCAGTGACTGCAGCTCTGACATGGGAGCTGAGCCCTGCCAGTGAGCGCAGCCTGGCCCAACAAGCATGGGCAGCTCAGAGGCACCACAGGGGCTCGTGCATCCACAACAAAGCCCCACGGCAGGCATCTTCTAGGCTTTGGACCCACCGGCACCTCCAAGCTGGCCTGGGTAGCCCACTGCCCATCCAGCCGCCACTCATGCATGCTGGGCAGGGCTGGACATCACCC